TAAACATTCCCTTGGCATGCTTCATCCTGCAGCCAACACGCACCCCAAGGCTACACATCAATGGCTTCTTATGGGCGTCCAACCCTGCCGTTTGCCAGCCCTTAAACCCTTCAAACCCTTCAAACGCTTAAAACCCTTAAAACGCTTACTTGCCATGCTTCATCCTGCAGCCAACAGCCACCACAAAGCCACACATCAATGGCTTGTTATTGGCGTCCAAGCCTGCCGTTTGCCAGCCCTTAAACCCTTAAAACCCTTCAAACGCGTAAAACCCTTAAAAACCTTAAAACCCTTAAAACGCTTACTTGGCATGCTTCATCCTGCAGCCAACAGCCACCCCAAGGCCACACATCAATGGCTTCTTATGGGCCGCTTAAAAAATCCCTTGGCATGCTTCATCCTGCAGCCAACAGGCACCCCAAGGCCAGACATCAATGGCTTCTTATGGGCGTCCAAGCCTGCCGTTTGCCAGCTTAAAACCCTTAAAAACCTTAAAACCCTTAAAACGCTTACTTGGCATGCTTCATCCTGCAGCCAAAAGCCACCCCAAGGCCACACATCAATGGCTTCTTTTGGGCCGCTTAAACAATCCCTTGGCATGCTTCATCCTGCAGCCAACAGGCACCCCAAGGCTACACATCAATGGCTTCTTATGGGCGTCCAACCTTGCCGTTTGCCAGCCCTTAAACCCTTAAACCCTTAAAACCCTTCAAACGCTTAAAACCCTTAAAAACATTAAAACCCTTAAAACGCTTACTTGGCATGCTTCATCCTGCAGCCAACAGCCACCCCAAGGCCATACATCAATGGCTTCTTATGGGCCGCTTAAACAATCCCTTGGCATGCTTCATCCTGCAGCCAACAGGCACCCCAAGGCTACACATCAATGGCTTCTTATGGGCGTCCAAGCCTGCCGTTTGCCAGCCCTTAAACCCTTAAAACCCTTCAAACGCTTAAAACCCTTAAAAACCTTAAAACCCTTCAAACGCTTACTTGGCATGCTTCATCCTGCAGCCAACAGGCACCCCAAGGCCACACATCAATGGCTTCTTATGGGCGTCCAAGCCTACCGTTTGCCAGCCCTTAAACCCTTAAAACCCTTCAAACGCTTAAAACCCTAAAAACCTTAAAACCGTTAAAACGCTTACTTGGCATGCTTCATCCTGCAGCCAAAAGCCACCCAAGGCCACACATCAATGGCTTCTTTTGGGCCGCTGCAACAATCCCTTGGCATGCTTCATCCTGCAGCCAACAGGCACCCCAAGTCTACACATCAATGGCTTCTTCTGGGCGTCCAAGCCTGCCGTTTGCCAGCCCTTAAACCCTTAAAACCCTTCAAACGCTTAAAACCCTTAAAAACCTTAAAACCCTTAAAACGCTTACTTGGCATGCTTCATCCTGCAGCCAACAGGCACCCCAAGGCCACACATCAATGGCTTCTTATGGGCGTCCAAGCCTGCCGTTTGCCAGCCCTTAAACCCTTAAAACCCTTCAAACGCTTAAAACCCTTAATAACCTTAAAACCCTTAAAACGCTTACTTGGCATGCTTCATCCTGCAGCCAACAGCCACCCCAAGGCCACACATCAATGGCTTCTTATGGGCCGCTTAAACAATCCCTTGGCATGCTTCATCCTGCAGCCAACAGGCACCCCAAGGCTACACATCAATGGCTTCTTCTGGGCGTCCAAGCCTGCCGTTTGCCAGCCCTTAAACCCTTAAAACCCTTCAAACGCTTAAAACCCTTAAAACCCTTACTTGGCATGCTTCATCCTGCAGCCAACAGCCACCCCAAGGCCACACATCAATGGCTTCTTATGGGCCGCTTAAACAATCCCTTGGCATGCTTCATCCTGTAGCCAACAGGCACCCCAAGGCCACACATCAATGGCTTCTTATGGGCGTCCAAGCCTGCCGCTTGCCAGCCTTTAAACCCTTAAAACCCTCCAAACGCTTAAAACCCTCCAAACGCTTAAAACCCTTAAAACCCTTAAAACGCTTACTTGGCATGCTTCATCCTGCAGCCAACAGCCACCCCAAGGCCACACATCAATGGCTTCTTATGGGCCGCTTAAACATTCCCTTGGCATGCTTCATCCTGCAGCCAACAGGCACCCCAAGGCTACACATCAATGGCTTCTTATGGGCGTCCAAGCCTGCCGTTTGCCAGCCCTTAAACCCTTAAAACCCTTCAAACGCTTAAAACCCTTAAAAACTTTAAAACCGTTAAAACGCTTACTTGGCATGCTTCATCCTGCAGCCAACAGCCACCCCAAGGCCACACATCAATGGCTTCTTATGGGCCGCTTAAACAATCCCTTGGCATGCTTCATCCTGCAGCCAACAGGCACCCCAAGGCTACACATCAATGGCTTCTTCTGGGCGTCCAAGCCTGCCGTTTGCCAGCCCTTAAACCCTTAAAACCCTTCAAACGCTTAAAACCCTTAAAACGCTTAAAACCCATCAAACGCCTACTTGGCATGCTTCATCCTGCAGCCAACAGGCACCCCAAGGCCACACATCAATGGCTTCTTATGGGCGTGCAAGCCTGCCGTTTGCCAGCCCTTAAACCCTTAAAACGCTTAAAACCCTTAAAAACCCTCAAAACCCTTAAAACCCTTAATGGGCGTCCAAGCCTGCCGTTTGCCAGCCCTTAAACGCTTACCCTTAAAACCCTTAAAACCCTGCAAACTGTGCAAAAGCTTCTCGGCACGCCGAACCGCGCAGGCAATAGCGCTGCCCCAAGGCCATATCGCTTAAACATTGCCTTAGCATGCTTCATCCTGCAGCCAACAGGCACCCCAAGGCTACACATCAATGGCTTCTTATGGGCGTCCAACCCTGCCGTTTGCCAGCCCTTAAACCCTTAAAACTTTAAAACCCTTAAAAACCCTCAAAACCCTTAATGGGCGTCCAAGCCTGCCGTTTGCCAGCCCTTAAACGCTTACCCTTAAAACCCTTAAAACCCTGCAAACTGCGCAAAAGCTTCTCGGAACGCCGAACCGCGCAGGCAATAGCGCTGCCCCAAGGCCACATCGCTTAAACATTCCCTTGGCATGCTTCATCCTGCAGCCAACAGGCACCCCAAGGCCACACATCAATGGCTTCTTATGGGCGTGCAAGCCTGCCGTTTGCCAGCCCTTAAACCCTTAAAACGCTTAAAACGCTTAAAACCCTTAACGGGCGTCCAAGCCTGCCGTTTGCCAGCCCTTAAACGCTTACCCTTAAAACCCTTAAAACCCTGCAAACTGCGCAAAAGCTTCTCGGAACGCCGAACCGCGCAGTTAATAGCGCTGCCCCAAGGCCACATCGCTTAAACATTCCCTTGGCATACTTCATCCTGCAGCCAACAGGCACCCCAAGGCCACACATCAATGGCTTCTTATGGGCACGCACCCTTACAACTGTACAATATCTGGGACGTGGCTGGGTTAGATATAGACCAACCACCTTCAGCCCAACCCCCCAGAAGGGGGGTCGGCGGCACCCGGGCGCTAGCCCATTCTATTTGGAAAACCTTGCATTTTAAAGCTTTAACACAAATATGGCTTCCTAAAGTAAATGGACCAGCTTTACTCAAAGAAAGGTGGAGAAGGTTTTTGATTTTTTTCAACCCCAAAAGTTGTTTGGCACAATAGACTACCATCCAAACATTCATATTATTGAGTAACTGAGCCACTCATGAGGTACCCCCTTGAAAAATTGTCTGGATGCGGTTTTTTTTTAAATAAGGGTTTAATAAGGCATCTAGGTATTTGGAAAACCTTGCATTTTAACGCTTTAACACAAATATGGCTTTCTAAAGTAAATGGACCAGCTTTACTCAAAGAAAGGTGGAGAAGGTTTTTGATTTTTTTTCAACCCCCAAAGTTGTTGGGCACAATAGACTACCATCCAAACATTCATACTATTGAGTAACTGAGCCACTCATGAGGTACCCCCTTGAAAAATTGTCTGGATGCTGTTTTTTTAATAAGGGTTTTAATAAGGCATCTAATTATTTGGAAAACCTTGCATTTTAAAGCTCTAACACAATTATGGCTTTCTAAAGTAAATGGACCAGCTTTACTCAAAGAAAGGTGGAGAAGGTTTTTGATTTTTTTTCAACCCCCAAAGTTGTTGGGCACAATAGACTACCATCCAAACATTCATATTATTGAGTAACTGAGCCACTCACGAGGTACCCCCTTGAAAAATTGTCTGGATGCTGTTTTTTTTTTTAATAAGGGTTTTAATAAGGCATCTAATTATTTGGAAAACCTTGCATTTGAAAGCTTTAATATTAAAAAAGAAAAACTGAAAAACATTTTTTAATTTTTTTAAAAATAAATTCAAAAAATAGGAAAATAATAAAAACAAATGTGAATCAAAAAACTAAAAAAAACAAACTGAAAAAAACTTGCCACAATAGAGGCCCCCCCAAACATCATGGAACTGAATAAGGAGGAAAAAATTGCCACAATAGAGTACCATCCTACTAATCGGATGCCAACATTACTTTATCAAATACCTTGAACTTTACTCTGTCCGATTTTTCATCCAACTGTTCAATATCAAACCTGCCGCTACCGAACTTCTCTCCGTCCATCTTGTCGGCCATCTTTATTCTGTCATATCCAGCTGTGTCTTGTTTTCTTTGATGACAACCCATACCTGTACCCAACCCTGTTCTGGCCTCCCTTCCTTGTCTTACCGGAAGCTTAATATGGGTTCTCCGATCCTCCCAATGTGGGACAAGCCCGAGCGTCAGCACTGGCCGCTAGGTAGACCATCTTCGGTACCGCGGCCTGGCGCCAGTTACAAAGAAGCATCTGCAAGGTCCCAAAGTTGCAGCTCTCCTTTCGCCTGATTTTCTCCATCTCATGGCGGATTGCCAAGAAAAGAAAAAATCACCGAAATGTCTGCCCAGTGCCCAGTGCCCAGTCAGGATTTTTTTTTAAGCACGGAATTTGTAGTGGAGTTTGTCTCAAGACTCAAGTCTGTGTTTTCAGGTCTTCTCCTGGGAGGGCTGCGTTGGGGTCAAACTTGACGGCATCAAAATGCCATGCTGCCTGACTGCGGCTTGGGCAAAACTACCGTGGTCAGCCTGTAATCACAAGGCTTCGCTGTACAATGAGGCCGGGGTGATCGTCAAACTCGCACTCAGCAGCATTTTGATTTGCTGCGAATTGTCGGGTCGTCGAGCTGTCTCCTGAAGCAGATCTGGACGCGTTTATGAAGGAACCTGTTAATCAACAGAAGCGCTGTGTATCAAACACGTGGGTGATCTGGTTGGGGGATAGCTGGGAGAGAAATTCTACTCTTCAGACATGTTTCCTTCCTCAGGATCCAGTTGCAGCAAATAGTCAGGGCCATCTGCAACCCTCTGCTAATCAAACTTGGCAACAGGACACCAGTCTCGAACCAAGGGGAGTCTTAGATGTGTTCACCTGCGGCCAAAGCTCAAAAAATCATGATAAACCCACCGGATTTCGAATTGCCCCATGACTTTCAGACAAGGCCACCTACTTTTGGGCGCTAGGGTCCGATTTTCAGTGGAGGGTCCGTGCACAAAAAAAAGTGTTATCATATATAGTTATGCGTTGTTTTCGGGGGGAGCCACAAGGGCATCCTTCGCACAAAATGTCCAGAATACAAAGGTCATGTTCTTAAACACCCAGAGAAGTATAGAGGTGCTTTTCCACATGCAAAGGCCAAGAGCGCTATCTGATGAAACGAAAGGGCCGAATGCACCGGGAAACAACATGACAACTATACCATGACATAGAAGGGACACTGTCTGAAGTGAGGAAAGCGTGAAATTAGGGAATGGATGACAGGTCCCCCCCCAAAACTACAGTCTTACCTCGAGCTTGCCAAAACATCTGCCATGTCCTTGATGCGAGCCATGTCTTTCGCAATCACCATCTGCAAAGCAGTTCGCCCGTGAGAGCTTTTCTGCATTGGGTCGGCACGCCTGGGTGCAACTCTCAATGGCAGATGTAATTTCAATGGGGCCAGCATTGGTTTGGGAATTATTTCCCTTTGTTTTTTTATTTCCCGTTCTTGCCGTTTTCCGTACTATTTGCAGCATTTTGGAAGTGAAAACTGTCACTTGGACAGTGTTTGCAGAAATGGTTTTCAGTTTTCAAAGGCTTGATTTAGGGTTTAGTTCAGGCTGGTTTAGAGTTTGTTTGGGTTTGGTTCAAAGTCTATCTAGGGTTGGTTTAGGATATATTTAGGATTGGTTCATGGTTTACTCTGGGTTGGTTTACGGTTTATTTACGATTAATTTAGGGTTGGTTGAATGTATATTTTGAAGTTGGTAGAAGATTTATTCAGGATTTGGTTCAAATCTATTTCGGGTTGATTTAGGATCTATTTAGGCTTTATTTGGGGGGTATCAGATTCACTTAGGGTTCGTTTAGGGTTTACTTAGGGTTGCTTTACATTTTCTTGGGGTTGGTCTTTCAAAGGGTTTACTTAGGGTTGCTTTACATTTCTGGAAACAGCTTCGGCTATTTATATGATGGGTTATAGCTACACAATTTGAAAAACTTCAATCGCCGACCAGAAATTATAGTATAGAACCCCGGGAAAAACACACACGCAAAATTAACCATCGTCAAAGTAGGGCATCGGTTCTCTATCTGCGGACTCACACCAAGTGTCATCTTCAGAAGAATTCGCACGATTTCAAGGTACTCTGCTTTCGCCTGGAGAAGCAGCTGGAAAACTGGTGAACTGAAATGATCGATAGCAAGCAGGTACGGGTCATTATCAAATCTCTTTAAAACGGGTCATCAGCGCATTCATTTATCCATTCCCTTCACTTCATTTAATTTCATATTATTTCATCTCATGTCGTTTCATTTCGCATCACTGCACTCCACTTCATGTCATTCAATTTTCCCTTTCCTTTCTTTTCATCTCATTCAGTTTAATTCATCTCAATTCATTCCATTCCTTTCCATTCCTTTCGTTTCTTTTAATCTCATGTCAGTTCGTTTCATACCAGTAGTACCGCACAAGGCGGTGGCGGAAGTTTCAAAAATAGGAAGCCTATAGGAAGGGTTGGTTGTTGTGACTCACGGATGGCAGAGCGAATCCACTGATGGACCGAAAGGTGGTTGGAGTTGTGTTGTCTAGAGTGGTTGCAATGGTTGCAGCGGTCACCTCACCACAACTGCTGGATGTAGTGTGGTGTAGTGCAGTTGTAGTTGTAGTTGTATTCGTAGGTGTAGTTGTAGTTGTAGCGTAGTGGAGTTGTAGTTGTAAGTTGTACTTGTAATGTAGTGTACTTAGTGTAGTGAAGTTGCAGTTGCAGTTGTAGTTGTGGTGTGGTGTAATTAGTGTAGTGTATTGTAGTGTACTGTGGTGTTGCGTACTGTAGCGTGGTATAGTGTAGTGTAGTCTAGTGTATTGTTGTGTAAAGTAGTGTAGTTGTAGTTGTAGTGTAGTGTCGTGCAGGGCAATGTAGTAGTTGCAGTTGTAGTGTAATGTAATGTAATTAGTGTAGTGTAATGTAGTGTAGTAGCATTTGTATTTGTAGCTGTAAGGTACTGCAGTTTAATTAGTGTATTGTAGTGTAATGTAGTGTAGCTGTACTTGTAATTGTAATCGTAGCTGTGGTGGTGGTGGTGGTGGTGGTGGCAGTAGTTGTAGTAGTAGTAGAAGTAGAAGTAGTAGTAGTAGTAGTAGTAGTGGTAGTAGTAGTGGTAGTGGTAGTGGTAGTGGTAGTGGTAGTGGTAGTGGTTGTGGTTGTTGTTGCTGTTGTTGCTGTTGTTGCTGTTGTTGTTGTTGTTGCTGTTGCTGTTGCTGCTGTTGTTGTTGTTGTTGTGTACTTAGTGTAGTGTAGTATAATTGGATGTAATGTAGTGTAGTGTAATTAGTGTTGTGTAATGTAGCGTAGTTTATTTGTACTTGTAGTTGTAGTAGTAGTGTAGTGGTACTTGTAGTTGTAGTTGTCTATCTATCTATCTGTCTATCTGCAAGCTTGAAAACGAAGCTATTCTGCGAGAGTTCCTCAGTTTTTGAACTTGACACCATCAAAAACGAAACAAATCTGCGAGACTTCCTCAATTTTCTAACTTGACAACATCAAAAACGAAACAAGTCTGCGAGACTTCCTCCATTTTTTAACTTGACAGCATCAAAAACGAAACAATTCTGCGAGACTTCCTTCAAAAATGGGAAGTTGAGTGCAGAGCTGATGGCCTTGTACCAATGCGTTTTGCGATTTTCCCACTTCACCTGTCTAAAGTACTGCGCCTGCCACGAAAAAGTGATGCCAGGTCATACGAAGTGTTGCACCTGTCACGCAAAATCATCTTCCCAAAACTGAAGATCTTATGCTCCAAAATGCAGGCCCTCTCAGGAAATCAGCGCCCTGACCTCTTAACATCTCTGATGAACATGTCTCTTGTACTGCGCCTGCCACGCGACATGCATCTTTCCACATCCTCTTCAAATGTCTACAAAACCCTCACGTTTTGCTCACTTTTGACAAGGTGCACAATCCCTTGCGCCTGCCAAGCAAAACGGCATCTGAACATCCAAAAGTGCCCCGTACCCCTCAGTTTTTTACACTTTTGACTTCGAAATGTGCTTCGCGCCGCAACGGCGTGCACTTTTTCGAAATCTCAACTTCCAAAAGTGCTCTGAACCCGTCAGTTTTTTACACTTTTGACTTCAAAATGTGCTTCGCGCCACGACGGCGTGCACTTTTCCGACATCACAACTTCCTAAAAGTGGTCCGAACATGTGGTGTTTTGTACATTTTGACTTGAAAATGTGTTTCGCGCCACAACGGCGTGCAATTCTTCATCTCTCATCTGGCCAGCTGGCTTCGCACCTGCCGCTTTAGCGAGCTTACTTTTCGACCCTCCGGAGCCACAAATCATTGGAAAAACACAGTCGGAAGTTTGACTTCTAAACTTCCTTCGATCACTGTTCATTTCTCATCTCTCATCTCTCACCTCTCATTTCATTTCATTCACTTCGTTTCATCTTATCTCATTACATTCATTTCATCTTATTCCAGTAGTACCGCACAAGGCGGTGGCGGAAGTTTCAAAGATAGGAAACGTATAGGAGAGATTGGTTGTTGTGAATCACGGATGGCAGAGCGAATCCACTGATGGACCGAAAGGTGGTTGGAGAACGTATTGTAGTTGTAGTTGTAGTTAGTGTAGTGTAGTGGGGTGTGGTGTAGTGTAGTGTAGTGTAATTTAGTGTAGTGTACTGTAGTGGAGTGTAGTGTAGTGAGGTGTGGTGTAGTGTAGTGTAGTGTAGTGGGGTGTAGTGTAGTGTAGGATAGTGCAATGTAATTAGTGTAGTGTAGTGTAGTCTTATGTAGTTGTAGCTGTAGTTGTGGTTAGTGTAATGTAGAGTAGTTTAGTGTAATGTAATTAGTGTAGTGTAATGTAATGTAGTGTAGTTGCAGTTGTAGTTGTAGTTGCAGGCGTAGTGTGTGTCATTCAGTGTAGTGTACTGTAGTGTAGCGTAGTGTAATTAGTGTAGTGTAGTATAGCGTAGTGTAATGTAGTACAGTTGTAGTTGTAATTGTTGTTGTAGTTGTAGTTAGTGTAGTGTAGCGTAGTGTGTGTAGTAGTTGTAGTGTAGTTTAGTGGAGTGTAGTGTAATGTAGTGTAGTGGAATGTAGTGTAATGTAATGTATTGTAATGTAGTGTAGTGGACTGTAGTGTAGTGTAGTGTAATGTGGTGTAGTGTAGTGGAATGTAGTCTAGGTGTAGTTGTAGTTGTAGTGTAGTGTAGTGGTGGTTGTAGTTGAAAATGCTACAAATCCCTCACTTTTTGCTCACTTTTGACAAGGCGCACAATCCCCTGCGCCTGCCACGCGGAACGACATCTCAACGTCCAAAAGTGGTCCGAGAATGGTGTGTTTTGTACATTTTGACGTCGAAATGTGCTTTGCACCACAACGGCGTGGACTTTTCCAACATCGCAACTTCCAAAAGTGGTCCGAACATGTGGTGTTTTGTACATTTTGACTTGGAAATGTGCTTCGCGTCACAACGGCGTGCAATTTTTTATCTCTCATCTGGCCAGCTGGCTTCGCACCTGCCGCTTTAGCGAGCCTACTTTTCGACCCTCCGGAGCGACAAATCATTGGAAAAACACAGTGTATCGCGACTTTCCTACCTTTTCGCGCACCTGCATCTTCTTTCTTCTGACTCTTTCTCTTCTCTGATCTTCTCTCTTCTAACTCTTCTCTTCTCTCTGACTCTTCCCATCTCTGCTTTTAATCTGTCCATATTGTCGGAAGTTTGACTTCTAAACTTCCTTCGATTATTTCATTTAGTTTCATTTTATCACATTTCACCATTTCATATTGTTCATTAGTTCATCTTATTTCTTTTCATTTGATTTCATTTATTCCGTTCAGTAACGCACCTCCGCAACCCTTCCTACAGGCCCTTCATGCGGTATGGCTTTCCATCTGTAAGTTCCGCCCTGGCGGAGCTCCTTGAACGTGCAAGATTCCTAAGGGCAAATCCCCGCCAATTTATACACTGGTATGGATCAAAACCGAGGGTACCAATGGAAGTTTGAGACGTTTTGACAAGGTAGTGATAGTACCCACGCACAGCCATAGTCTTGCCATGTCTTGCCGCCAAGCTGCTGCCATATGTAGCGGCCAAAGCTTCTCAGTGGATGAACAACTGAAGATCGACAAGATCGACCCAAAAGTGAAGCGCTTCGCCGGGCCTCGTAGCCCATGAAATCGGTGGAAAGATGGTACCAAGATGATCCAAGAATGGGTCAGGTGCCTCCCAGTCGGTTTCAAGCATGTCACTGGTTTCTGCCCTTATCTAGTTAAGTTGAGCTACCCATTGTCACAGAAGGGTGTTTGTCATGAGTGGATCATCCCCACCAATTTTACCAGTTATGCCTAGATTTCCCACCATGAAGTTTCACCCCCGAAGCCAAGGGTCCGTCCAGCGGCGCGTTCACATTGCTCGCCGTTACGACGTGCGGCTTGAAGAATTTATACCTAGGCATGGCCAGGGCAGATGTGTGATGTGAGCGAATCCAAAATCAGATATCCACGAACCGAATGTTTGAACGATGCGCAATGAGAATGAATTGACAAAATTATCAAAGGAAGTTTGGAAGTCAAACTCCGTTGTACGGAAGATTTTGTGAAGTGGATAATGTGGACAATCACAAAAATACATCACCACAACAATACAACATCACAACAAAACATCATCACAACATTACATTTGCACACCAATACATCATCCCAACAATACACCATCAAACCAAAACATCACCACAACAATACACCATCACAAAACATCACCACAACAAAACATCATCACAACAACAATACATAGTCGCAACAATGCATCATCGCAACAATACTTCATCACAACAGTACATCATCACAACAATACATCATCGCAGCAAAACATCACCACACCAATGCATCATCACAACAAAGCATCATCGCAACAATGCATCATCTCAACAATACTTCATCACAACAATACAGCATCACAACAATACATCATCACAACAATACATCAACATAACAGTACACCATGACAACAATACACCCATCACAGCAAAACACCACCACAACAATACATCCGCACAACAATACATCATCACAACAGTACATCATCACAACAAAACATCATCAAAACAATACATTATCACAACAATACATCATCACAACAATACATCACCACGACAATGCATCACCACAACAAGGCATAATCACACCAATAAATCACTACAACATTACATAGAGTAGAGATGTGGAGAGAATAGAGATGAGAAGAGAGTATAGAGATGTGCAGAAAGCAGAGGTGCGCAGAGGGTAGAGATGAGAAGAGAATAGAGATAGGATGTATGATGTTGTATTGTGATTTGCAAGGCGGCGCGTGCAGATCACAGTGGACTGGCTGCGTCAAGGTGATGTTTGGACGTTTGAAAACGCACGAAACCCGAAACCCCATGTCCTATGTTTTTTCGCATAAAGTGGCTCTCGGCGTCGATGTGAGAGCCACTTTATGCGAGACGACATATATAGGACATAGGGTTTCGTGAGATTTCCGACGTCCAAGCATCACCTTGACGCGGCAATTCCATTGCGATCTGCAAGCATTGGCCTGCAAATCACACAACAACTGCGTCAACCAAGACTGCCATCACAAACGTGGACGCAGAAATTGCAGTGCGATCTGCACGCTTGATTTTTATTTTACAGTGGCGGACGCGCCCGAACGCAAGCCGCGCCCGTCACACAAACATAAGGTTTCCCACATCGATGCCGGGAACTTTCTCCGAGAAAACATTCGGTTTCGTGCGATTTCAAACGTCCAAGCATCACCTTGACGTAGCAATGCCACTGCTATCTGCAAAAACGACCTGCAGATCACTCAGCAACTGCGTCAACCAAGACTGCAAACACAAACATGGACGCAGCCTTTACAGTGCGATCTGCACGCCTGAATTCTACTTTATAGTTCTCTGCCGGGAAGACCATGTCACATGTGCCAACTGAGCCGTTCCCTCATCAATGTAAGTCCTTGCCGTACGCGGGCAGGACCATCGACCCCGGGATACTGAAATAAAAGGGACGACTGAAAGTGCCATGTAGCGCCTCCCCGACGAAGGCAATAAGGCGTGTAGGAATCCGCTGAGAAACCAAGCAGTTGCAAAAGCGCTGCAAAGAGATGCCTGAACTGATGAGCCCCATGAGGCCAAAGATAAGCAGTAACCACCTCGCGGGCAAACTCGATGAGCCGGGCATCGGTGACCAAAATGACCTGAGGGTTGCCTTAGGACGTCTTGCTGCCCGGCAAGATGATGCTCATCCCGTTGCCCTGGGGATGAAACACCACATGCTGGTGGGTAAGCCCAAGCATCCCACTTGTCCGGAGCAAGCAGTTGAACCCAATGGCGGTCAGTACCCCTGGCTCCACGTTAGGCCCATCAGGCTCTGCACCAACTCCCAAGAAGCGGGGACAGCTCTGGCCCGGACATAGCACCGCTGCCAGTTACGGAAATACTGGCTGCTCCGTGGCAACTCCAGACGACGTTCTGGGTGAAACCTTTAGATATAGCCGACAGGAGGTGGCCTGCATAACTCATGGGCTCACCCTCCTGGTATGAAACATCAATGAATTCGGCCAGCTGGCGATCTAAGCATGAGGGACAAATGTCGGTGGCGAATGTGCCTAAGGAAATGATCCAAGGCCTGCCGATAGGCTTGCAAGGTGCGCGGGTGGCCGGCATACTGCAGGCTACGCCGTCTTCTCATGGAGATGGTTGCCCTTTGTGTGCACCTCCTTCTCCTCCTCGATCTTGGCCCGTCTTTCTCCACTCGAGGTGGGTGACTCCTTTCTCTTGCGCTCTTTGTTCTTTTTGCGCTTGTCCTCACCTCCATCTGGCTTCTTGGCTCGTTTCTTGTCATCTTTGCCTTTGTTCAGGCGCTTTTCAATGGCTCGCACCGCATCACGTGCCTCATCCACCATCACCTGGCTCAACCCAGGGTAAGTCAGCTCCCGAAGCCACAGCCTTTGTGTCCAAGCCCTTCTCCTTGAGGTATCCCTGCGTAGCCTTGCCGCAGGTCCGCCCAAAAGTGCAGGCAGGGACCTTGGCGCCCAGCTCCTTGGGGCCAAGAGGCCTGAAGAGTTCCAGATGAATCGCCTTGTTGCTCTTGAGCTCAGGGGAATCCCTTGAGTTGCCATCACAACAGTGGTACTTGCAGAGCGCTGCCAATCCTCGGCCTTCTCCTTCTTGAACCACCATCGTAGGTGACCATCGCTGGCCAAGATGTAGCGCCCCTTGAACCAGTGTCCCTTGGCGTCAGTGGACACTGGGTCAACTACTTCCGCCACCGTCCCCTGAGCCTTGCCAGTGTCACCGAGCCCTCGACCTGGCCGGCTCGGAAGCGATGCTTGTACCACTTCTCCCTGTTCTCTCCCCCCAGCCACATTGTGGCTGGTGGGGGGTAAAGTTGCTTAAGCGAAAGCTGCAGCGTTCGACATATTATCGTTGCTGCATTGCGCATGGCTACATTACGACACCACTTGGTAAAATATATACATACACATCCATGTGCAGCAAAAGAGTACCGGACAAGTTCTCAACTACCTTGAAAGCTTGCCCAGAATGTTGGCGTTAAATTCAGTTTAAGAATTCCCATCCGGTTGCCACAGCAGCTGATGTCCAAGGTACAATTTCACCTCGCGTTGCTTCCTGATTGCCGGTTGAACCCTTGGTTCAATATGGTTCAATGTCGTTAAATATCGCTCACTAGGCAAATTAAGCCTTCAAAAAAACTAAATACAGTACATGAATATAAAATAAACATGTAAAACATCGGCCACAAGGTGGATGGATTATTCGCACACACTTCGGGTGAACCCCTGTGACTCAGCAATTGGTACCAGTCACCCCAGATTTAGGGGCTCCCCTTCAAAATTTGCGCCATCGAGAAGATGTTGGGATGGTCATCGACCCAATTTGGTGTTTTTGTTAGGTCTTCGGTCTTCTCATTTTAACTTAGCCTCGGTGACAGTTTTTTCCTGAAGCCAGGACCCAGTCTCCGTCTGAACTCCTGCTTCTGCTGAACTGCAGGCGTCTCTTCCGGAATTTCCTCAACCTCGGGAAATTCCAACAGCGTCATGTCAATGTGGCCATCAAGCGAGGGAGGTGCTGGAACGTTGAGATCCAGCACCTGTGGCCCCATTGGCTGTACCTGCACTATGGCATGTATGGCTGACCCTTGGCTAAACGGCATGCCCGGCTGGGTCGTTGGAGCCAGAACGCTCTGGAGGCGGCTATGGCACACACTACCTGGTAGATTATAGTGAAGCTCCCTCAAGTTGTGCTTTCATCCCAGTCTGCTTTATGTGATTTTGTTTTTTGTCCATCTAAACAATCTAAACATATTGCGTGATATTCGGTGGTTGGACCATGCCAAGACCCTATGGGTGGGAAAGCCATGATTGCCTTAGTGAAGGTAAGCTGCCACCAGAAAGAAACGGCAGGTGCCTCGTGATCCTCATGCCTTGCCGAGCCAACCGTGTTCCTTCGCCAACGCGGCAGGCGATGTCAAAGTGCGCCAGGACATGATAGGGGAAGACGGTAAAAATTGGAATTCCCATGGCCATGAATATATATAAAACATCAACCTGTTTCGGATGCTTTCATACCAGGTTTGGGCAAACAACATTCATTTTCTTGTCGAGGTGGGTCCAACACGGCGAAAACTGCAGCCCGTGCAATGTCTTGGGACAAGAGCACACAAGAACCACCCAATAAAAGCAGTGCCACACTCGAGGGAAAGCTCACTTGGTTGGCCCTCATTGAACCATGGATCACGATCTCACAGATTGGAGGTAGGAATCAGCGACGATTGAAGATGGGGGAAGTTACCATCCAGACTTGGTCAAACCCGTCAGACCCTACCTTCAAATCTCATGCAACAGATTTCTCACGGCACAATGGCGATGGTCTTATTCGATCTCGCCGGACCGAACAACCGACCATTGCAGCTATATGACCTCTATCAAGGGTCTAAAGGAGACTCTTTGGAACAAATGGATGGATTCATGAATGACTAAACGGATGAACGAACAAACAAACAAATTATACCAGCGTTGACCCCAAACAGATGTAGAAAATCTCAAATATATTTTAGTTTGCGGCAAAGGATATCATTTCGGCATCCTTCCCTGCATTTATTGCCCGCCCTGCCCCATGCGCCCCAAGGAACCCAGAGTGGGAGACAAGTGTGGGAGACAAGTGGGAGACAAGCGTAAACTCATGCGGCCCAAGGCACCCAGAGTGAGAGACAAGTGTGGGAAACAAGTGTGGGAAACAAGTGTGGGAGACAAGTGTGAGAGACAAGTGTGGGAGACAAGTGTGGAAGACAAGTGGGAGACAAGTGTAAACTCATGCGCCACAAGGCATCCAGAGTGGGAGACACGTGTGGGAGAGAAGTGTAAAATCATGCGGCCCAAGACACCCAGAGTGGGAGACAAGTGTGGGAGACAAGGGGGAGACAAGTGGGAGACAAGTGTAAACTCATGCGGCCCAAGGCACCCAGAGTGGGAGACAAGTGGGAGACAAGTGTAAACTCATGCGGCCCAAGGCACCCAGAGTGGGAGACAAGGGGGAGACAACTGTAAACTCATGCGGCCCAAGGCACCCAGAGTGGGAGACAAGGGGGAGACAAGTGTAAACTCATGCGGCCCAAGGCACCCAGAGTGGGAGACAAGGGGACACAAGTGCACAAGGCACCCAGAGTGGGAAACAAGGGGGAGACAAGTGTAAGCTCATGTGGCCCAAGGAACCCAGAGTGAGAGACAACTGTAGAAAAACAAGGGGGAGACAAGTGCAAACTCATGCGGCCCAAGGAATCCAGAGTGGGAGACAAGTGTTGGAGACAAGTGGGGGACAAGTGTAAACTCATGCGACCCAAGGCACCCAGAGTGAGAGACAAGTGTGGGAGACAAGGGGGAGACAAGTGTAAACTCATGCGGCCCAAGGCATCCAGAGTGGGAGACAAGGGGGAGACAAGTGTAAACTCATGCGGCCCAAGGCACCCAGAGTGGGAGACAAGTGTGGGAGACAAGTGTAAACTCATGCGGCCCAAGGCACCCAGAGTGGGAGACAAGTGTGGGAGACAAGTGTAAACTCATGCGGCCCAAGGCACCCAGAGTGGGAGACAAGGGGGAGACAAGTGTAAACTCATGCGGCCCAAGGCACGCAGAGGGGGAGACAAGGGGGAGACAAGGGGGAGACAAGTGTAAACTCATGCGGCCCAAGGCACCAAGAGTGGGATGCACGCCCGGAGACAGAGGCAAAATCATGCGGCCCGGGATGCAACCCTTTGAAAGGAGTAAGAACCCCATACAGGTAAGCCTGTTTGGGGAATTAATGAACGAATGAATGAACAATGAATGAACGAAGGCATGAATGAACGCATGAATGCATGCAATAATGATTGTGGATGAATGAAAGGGTGCATGAATGAATGATTGAATGAATGAGCGAATGCATAATAATGAATGCATGAAGTTCTTCGCCAAGCTACTTCTCCTCTAAGCTGCCTTTCTTGTCTGACCTGCCTCTTCGCTTCTGTCAGCCACTTCTTCGCTGAGCATCATCTTGCCCAGCTACTTCCTGACTGGCTACCTCTTCTGTAACTCCTCCTGTTTCTCCTGTCATAGCTGTTACAATGCGTTGAGCAAGCTCCAGCTGCACTGGCACGCAGACATGGAGTTGCACAATCTCTAAAAACCTTCCTGCGCGTTCAACGAGACAGTCCCTCGGCGATTCCGCCATTTGCTAACGAGTTGCGTTCTTTCATGACCACTGATATACCCGGTAAACAAAGCTTTAGCTTGTTTATACTCAGAACACATTTCCATATATAGTAAGAGATTGACATACTAGAGTGCCCATCCAGTGCTAACCCCTGAGGCCCTGCCTTTGGTCCTAAGAAGTCACCCGCGCTCGTCCCCGGTGCAATGAAAAGCTTGGGATGAGATGATTGAAGATCCGCGGAGCTTGGGGATTGCCAATCTGATCCGTGAAATGTTCTCAAGCGTTGACATGTTCTTTGGGATGGTACACCTGGAAAAGGCTGATGTTTTTTCGGACCGAACCTGTTTCAAGATATCCTCTGACATTTTCTACCATAATTCGACTGTGGGTGGATGCAATTTTTGCCCATCTGTCATTGTAACACTTCTGGCCGCGCCGCATAGGCCTCTGCTGGAGCAAAACGCTGAGTCAGCCCATGCAATAGGCATTTTCACCTAAAGATGCCATTGAACTTGGGAATTGAGCTCAATTGCACTCAAACAGGATTGGCAAGCATGGGGAATATATGTTTCAACCAACAGCAACGGTGAGGAAATAAGATGCTCCAACTGAACTTTCTCCAACAAGCAGAATAAACAATCTCCACTACCGGGCAACCTTCCATGGTCATGCTGATTACCGAAGGGTAGTCGTGCATGCTGATTAATTGCCAGAGGGTAGTCCGGAAACTTGTCATACATAATCCAACAGGCCATCACTGTAGAATTTACAGCAAGGAGTTTTCGAGATTTTGCACCACCTTCTGTTGCTGCTGTTCTCTCAAAACCCAACCGTGTCGCTATTTTTCACACTGGAAGCAGCGCCCCATCTCCGCAAAAGAGCTCGAGGGACCTGGGATAGATTTGACTTCGCAAGTGGCAGATTAATAAGCTTTTATCCGGTACGATAGAATCTTCCACATTTTTTTTTCTGCCTCGTTGGAAGGCTGCACAAGTCATGAAGTCTTTCAACAGAAACGCAACCCATGGTGAAATGTTTTTTTTTTTGTGGATTTTCACCCTCATCTTGTAGCTACAGGAGTTCTAGTCCAAAGGTTGACCGTTTCTTCGCAATTGTGCTGGCATATGTTGATTCTTCACATCCCCATGTTTAGTGGATAGAAGCACATTTTGCATCACTTTCCAACATCCCCAGTCTCAGTGGCTATATCCAAATCCCTCTTTCGTTGCCCAGTCCCATCAACTTCTACTGCTACTTTAGTTCATACAACAACCACTTTCACCTCACCTTAAAGAGTTTCTGACCCCTGTAAGATTTTACGCTGGCTGGATTGCCTTAACTTTAAAAGAAAACATCCCATGATCTTTCTACCCTTCTGTCATCTTTTGTCACCTCTCCGGAACCGGGGTCCGGACACACCCACGAGCCCTTTCTCAGCTCCGTAAGGAAACCTGGGTAGGACTCCGCCAAAATGGGTGTGCCAAGATTTCGATGATGGCATGTGGCAAGTGTAGTTTCTGGGCAGCTACATCAGAATATATTTCCTTTTGGGTTCGTCCAAAAATGAGCTACCCCCCAAATATTTGGCAAAATTTCGAAGGAAAGCGATGATCAACCGGACCATGTTTTTTTTTCCATAAACCATATCCCTTTTACATCCCCATAAAATGGTTGGTTCTTAATCCCAAAGTTTTCAGCCAAAGCCAAGCCATAGCAATATCCATATAGATAGATGATCTAAGACCTTATTCTCCCTATATGCAGATGGTAATCTGGGGTATCATTATTTTCAGACAAAACCATATATATATATATATAGCCTATCAATATTTTAATATACATATATGCATATATATATATATATACCCTCTGGTTATTTAACGTAGCTATGGGAAATCACAAATTTTGCTAGGTAAATCATCATAAATCATCTATAAATGGGCCATTTTCCATAGCTACTTTAAATAACTAGAGGGTATATACAAAAAGAGACAAAATCCATCGAAGGTATCTATGGGAAGTAACCATCCATCCGTCAAACCGCACCGAGCTTCTGTAGCTGCAGGTGTCCACTCTTGGCTTCCCTGGGAAGCATCGGCAACTTTCTCTCAAAATGAGGGATTCGCCAGCCATTTTGAACTATCACCGTTTTTGTGTGGGAAAATGATGATAAACCCATGATTTTCAGTTGGGGACCTTATTTTCAGACAGGCCCCTGCGCTATTAAATGGTAAAAACAATATGGTAAAGCAATAGGTAGTTACCTAGCGGCCAAAACGAATGAACCATGAGAGTGGCCGGACGCAATAGGGATATTCACCGCCACGTGGGCCATGGGTCAACGGATCCAGGTCAAAATTTCCAGCATTTCTTCACCATCTGGGGCCTTCCCCCGCCTGCAGCGTTGCAGCACTTGGTCAAGGTGTTGAGCTTCGAAGAACAAGGGAAGCCATGAGGATGTCGTGGACCAGCTGGAATTGCTGCTACTGCCCAGCTGTACCTGGAAGTTGTGATCCCTGAAAAATGAGAAAATATGAGGAAAGGGGTTCACAATTAGTTTTTTTTTTAAAAAATCATACCCCTAGCAGTCAATGGCCCAACACACACACACATATATATATATATGTATATAAATACTTACCAATATTTACTAATTCTAGTAATTTATAATAAGTTACTCCTTCCCTTAAAGGTGGGGGTAGACTCCCAATACTCACAACTAGAAAATGGAACTCCTTCGTTAATCATCTTGGGATGGTTCCCATCCAAACCTGCAACTGCATGGCACCCAGGTTGTAAAGTGTATAAAAAGTGAGACTTACAAACCATCTCAAACCATGGTCAACCACATGGTCTCACACTTACAAATCTTACAATTCCAGAAAAAATCTGTCGCTTTTTACTACTCTGGTTGGTGAAGAATCCAACAAAAACCAACATGAACTTTTATTCAATACTTGACCAGGCTTTCTGGTGGAGTAATTGATGTTCGTTTTTTGGGGAAGTGATAACCACGTCATAACCTTGCGAGGGTCATAAGGCCCTGCCTCCAATTGGACCATGTCATCTGTGGGCAGCAGCTGGTAATGTGCCTGCGCTGATCATTGGGGACCTCCATCCCAATTGGATGAGGGGAAACACGCCCAGAATTCCTGTGGAAATTCTTCATAATACCTTGAATTGCGAAGGCCACAATCCAGAACCCCACAATTATAAGTTGGTTTCTAAACCAATCTTGCTGTAAACAAAAATTTAACAGATCCCCACAATTGTAGCTAGCCTAGTAGGCCTAGTTTCTCCAACTTACCCCTCGTTGGCGCAAGCTCCGCCGCCTCGTCCCAGCCAAACCAACTGTGCTCCTTCGCCTGGGGAAGCTCTGATCACCATGATATCCATGATGGCAATGGCAACCTACTTGAAATAATATGAAATATGAATCTAGATCATCCCCATCTTTCGGATGTTCTTCCCAAGGTTTTGGGAGGTCAACATCTTTCACTTTTTTCCACGCTGCAGGGCACCAGGGACGCTTGGTAAACTCTCAACAGAAAGAAGAAAAACGTGAACTCCATGGTAGCGTTCTCCGAATCGAATCCTCAATCGAAAAACCGATTGAATCTCCCAGACATGAGCGATGTCTGCGAATGTTCTGGGAAATGTTGATGGGTGATATGACGTAGGCATACCTAGGCTGACAAGGAATGATCTTTCCAGAAAACCTATCATGTCTAAGGTGTGCTTGTAAGTATTTGTCCATATGAACCCCAAACACTCACAGCCAAATCTAGCCAGAAGTGCGGTTTAGGTGCGCAAAATCATCTAACTAGTTGCCGTTAAATGGCAACATGGCAGAAAATAAAACCAATACTGGTTGATATGCCGATCTACACCGGGGACATCATTGACTATCATTCGCCATACAATTCGCACTTGAAACTAAAGGCCTTTTGTTTTCTGGGCGAAAAACCATTTGCATGATCGGTTGATATGGCAGTTTCTATTCGCTGCATCCCTAATTAATCAGTGATGAAATAAGCTTAATCCCAACTTTTTTCATTGCCTGTATTGCCATCCAACCAATTAATCAACAAGTATTAAGTGTATCGTATCCTCTGTGTTTCTCAATTTGCTATTACTTTCTGCCATATATCATATACCTATAGAATGATCATGTCTACTTCTATCTCCTCTGGCTATATTAGCAAACACCACCACCAAAAAAAAACACAAAAACATTTCTTGGGATGGTGAAAACCGAAACTCAAACATCACAGAAACATGGATATTATCATCTCAACCATCTTTGGTGATGTTTAAGATGGCCGAAACAAGACATTCTGATAATTTATCAATTGTCATAATTCCTTGCACTGCGAGCCCACCAAATAATATTTTTGGACACACCCATGTTTTTCTTTGGTTGCATATCCGATTACATCAGACATTTTATCGACCATCCCACATTTTTATTTGGTTATATCTCCCATCCAATCAGGATGATATCCAAATGGTGGTTGGTTTAATTGGTTATATCTCCCATCATTCTATGAATTTATCTCCCACAATCATGGTATAATCATGGTTGCGTAGAAATACATGGGCAATCTCCCAAATAAATTAATGGTGGTACCATCTGGTTATTTAACAGTTCGCCATGGAAAATCACAATGCTATTAATAGGTAAACCGTCTATTTCTATGGGCCATCTATACCATGGCGAACTGTTGAATAACCAGAGGGTAACTCAACTATAAATAGGCCATTTATAGGTCATTTTTTATGGCTATGTTCGTTTACTAGAGGGTATCCAAAAATCCATGGGTTTATCATGTGGCCTAGCCACCATAAAATACCACTAACCATCCCTAATATCACCATTTTGATACATGGATGATATAAACCGTGGGGGCTGTAATTTGGTGGTTTCAAATATTTATATAAACTAATTGTGCACTTAAACCTTGAAGAACTTCTGGTGGAAACTCCTCCGATTGCTACGCCATCCCTGCCGCCTGCACGCGGTGCACTTCCTCCACAACCTCGGGATCCAAATGAAAGGCCTCCGCCACCGTCGTCACGTCCACCCCTGTGGCGGGGTTGAGAATGGAACGAATATATTTATACGCATATGTATGTATGTATGTATGCATGCATGCACGTATGTAATGTATGGATGTATGTATGTAATGTAATGTAATGTCATGTAATGTAATGTAATGTAATGTAATGTATGAATGTATGTATGTATGTATGCATGCATGCATGCATGTATGTAATGTATGTATGTATGTTATTTAATGTAATGTAATGTAATGTAGTGTAGTGTAATGTAATGTATGAATGTATGTATGTATGTATGCATGCACGTATGTAATGTATGTATGTTATGTAATGTAATGTAGTGTAGTGTAATGTAGTGTAATGTAATGTAATGTAGTGTAATGTAATGTAATGTATGAATGTATGTATGTATGTATGCATGCATGCACGTATGTAATGTATGTATGTAATGTAATGTAATGTAGTGCAGTGTAATGTAATGTAATGTAATGTATGAATGTTTGTATGTATGCATGCATGCATGCATGCACGTATGTAATGTATGTATGTATGTTATGTAATGTAATGTAGTGTAGTGTAATGTAATGTAATGTAGTGTAATGTAGTGTAATGTAATGTAATGTATGAATGTACGTATGTATGCATGCATGCATGCACGTATGTAATGTATGTATGTAATGTAATGTAGTGTAGTGTAATGTAATGTAATGTAGTGTAATGTAATGTAATGTATGAATGTATGTATGTATGCATGCATGCATGCACGTATGTAATGTATGTATGTATGTATGTAATGTAATGTAATGTAGTGTAGTGTAATGTAATGTAATGTAATGTATGAATGTATGTATGTATGTATGCATGCACGTATGTAATGTATGTA